CTACTACTGCCACGACTACTACCACCACCACTTCCACTGCTTCCACTACGTCCACTGCGACTACTTCTTCTTCTTCTACTACTACTACTACTACTACTGCTACTGCTACTGCTACTACTACTGCTCCTACTGGCTATCTAATCGTAGGTATCCACGACAGCAGAGTGATACGTGCAACCTTTGTAAGATGAACAACAGAAAAACGCACACTACAACCAAGCGCTGCGTAGTCACATATAGCACTATGGACTGAGAATGACTGAGAGAGTACTCAAGGCTTGAGCCGAGGCGCGCTCACGTCGCCCAACTGTTCGAACTCCTTGAGCCGAGCTTTCAGATCTTCGATCTCCTCTTCCTTGCAGGTACATGGAAAGAACCGCTCATGCTGTCAAACAAAAAACACGCACGGACAGACCCACAAACAACATTGAACATGACCGCGGCAGGGACACTGATGCTGCATGGAAGGAGTTAAGCAGCCCCACCCGATCCACTTTGTTCCTCAGCAATTTACGACTGCAGCCCAAAGTAATCACTGCTACAGAATCACGTGATATGCACCCGAAAGAAGGCACTAGCGTGACAACATTCATATTGAGATCTCAGTTCTGTCGGTACTGACTCAAAACTGCGAGAAACAGTTCAACTTTGTAGACGAAAACCTCGTAGAAGTATCGAGTGCAGGCAATTTCAATCCCGTGCACTGGCGAAGATCGTAAGTCAACTCACCAGGCAAGACAATGGACCCGCAGCCCTCCGCCCCGGAGCCCGTCAAAACGTTGGACTTGAAACATCCCCAAGGATTTCCCTCGCGCCTTCTTGAGGAGACGGCTCTCGAGGCGGGCCATGTCCTTTAGTGTCTGTTGCCGGGATTCTGGGAATCTCTCGGTGTCCAAAGTCCTTGTGCTTGGAGTCTGACAAGGTTTCAATCTGCATACCGAAAGCCTATGAGCTTCGCAGCCCACTTACGGTGGAGTGTGCAGCCGCATGCCTCCAAAACAAAAAGGTGCTTACATGAACTTCATGTTGTACTAGACCTTAGGAACATGGGCACTGCGGCATTACGATTAATCAGTGCCATTATGGGTTACAGTGCTCTTCTGTCTCGAAGCAAGCTGCAGCGTCGCGTTGAGCCAACCTTTCTCCAGCTCTCGCCTCCTCGGCGGACAGGGTGGATCCAACTAAGCGCTTAATATGCAGACCATAGCGGGACAATTCTAGAAAAGACTCCCATGACGAAAGAGGCTGTAATTATGACAATTCATACTCATACCTGAAGCCCGGACACTGAATCTCGAAAGCTGCAGGAAACGCACCCATTATTTGTCTGAGCCCCAATTCCAGAACTCGCCGCGAGGGAAGCATGAACCGCTAGCATCTTGAGTGGGCCGAACGATACTAGATTGAAGCTCTCAGTGTTTCTCTGTGTGGCCGGATGTCTGAGACCTATAACATATGGTTAGGCGCTCTGCCCCCGACCCCCCCCCTCCGCCCTGCTCCATGGTCCAGGATTCCCCCCGCCCCCTCCCGTGCGTACGGTGTGGGGTCCCTCTTCCTCTTGTGGTGTGGCTGTCGGGTTTTGGAGTCTCGGGTTTAGCTCAAGCTTTTGAGTTTGGGGTTTAGGGTTTTTACGATTAAAAGTCAAAAGTCTTCGAGTCGACAAGAGTGTGGGGGGGTTTGGGGTTATAGGGTTTAGGGCTTGCGTAAGACTTGTGTAAGATCGCGGCCCTCTCTGTGACCCCTGGCCGCCCCCCAGCAGCAGCACGCCAGCCCCCTTCCCCACCCCTGCATGCCTCACCATTCCTGGCGTTCCTGCGTGTGCAGAGACGTGCGGCCAGCTGGAAGGTGGGGTGCTGCTGGGGGCGTCCAGGGGTCACAGAGACGGTCGGGATCTCACGCAAGCCTTACGCGTTTGTTTTAACTTTCACCAGCCTCTACAACCAACCCTAAACCCCGCCCAAATACATGCCAAGACTAAAGCAGAACATAAACCGTCAACCCTAACCATCGCCAAGCCGGGGAGGTGGTGACAGGGTTGGCCTGAACTCGGCCAGCTAGTGTGTCCCCGAAGACGGCTGCAGCCGCGGTGCCTTCACGGCCTTGAGTTCCTGCTCCATGTCCTTCGTATGGAAAAGCAACATATCAGTTGAAGTGCTGAGGATTGGGGGTGAGCTCTGCTCTTGTGCTGGTGTCAGTTTACGGGCGACTTCAGCATCGCGGAGAAAAAGAGGCTCCCGTGCAGAGCTTTAAACGAAACCCACAAGCCCGGGCAGCTCTGGTGCTCAATCCACAGCACCTAGACACTCCGAGAAACGAGAATCGGCCCAAACCCTTGGAAGCCACTTGCCTGCGAGTCTCAACGAGGTATGGGTCCAAAACGTAAAGCTAACGTGTTCATCCTTTTGTGTGACAAGGGTCGTAGTGCCCCGATGGGGAAAAGCTGTAACTAGATTATGCACCTCTATGTGAGAGCAATGACAATGCGCGTGACACGATTCAT